TATCGACCACAACATTTGGATTGCACCATTAGAGAACAAGAGTAATGTCACACTAAGTGTTTGCATTTAATTAAATTGGTTTGGGATATGCATCACTTATGAATTTGATGTTACTCATTTCTTGAATAACTGTACTATTGCTTTTTTTATAACCAATAACTGTACTATTTCTTATGTGCTTATAGAATAAAATTTTATTCATAATTCATTTTATTGCAGCAAATCTTCCCCGTCGGGATTATCAATTCGAAATCACGAGGACGGCACTATATTCCAATACCTTAGTGGCATTACCTACTGGGCTTGGAAAAACATTCATCGCTGCCGTTGTAATGTATAATTATTTTAGGTGGTTTCCAGAAGGTATGCATCACTCTTTAGCATTTTTTTGTCATTGCATGTGATTAAGTGTTCTTGATGGTATTTTTTTTCTTCTGGAAAACGGCATAAAGAAATAAGTTCAAGTGAGCTGCTTGGAACTATATCAATATGCTTATGGCAATCCTATCTAAACACTGCAAAAGCTGAATATAGATAAGTTCTCATTACTCTCAGTAAGGTCCAACTAAGCTGAAAATAATGTTGTCTTGATAAGGTCTTAATTTATTGTAATGAATTATATACATCTTTACTGAAGTAGAGTTATATATTGGAGCGAATGTTCCTTATTTTGTCAATATAGATGAGAACTGCTTATGCAGGAAGTTATGGGCATCACATACAAATTCAGAGTTTCAAACATTTGCATTGCTTTGGATTCAAACCTACATGTACCTTACACAATGACTTCATTACTTTGCATGAATTGTGAAAGATTGAGTAGCTTTTTTTTTTGAAAATTATGTTTTTATTCTAGCAGTTTCTATCCAAAAGGAACAATTGTAACATCATAACCCTCTTTAACCTCTTAGTTGTAGCTTTTAACTTTGTTGTTTGAGGAAAAAGCTTAAGCATACCAAAAATATATTTACTTTGTATATGTTACATCGTGGCAGGAAAAATAGTTTTTGCAGCTCCTTCTAAGCCCCTAGTTTTGCAACAGATTGAAGCATGCCATAACATTGTAGATATACCACAGGTGAGGCTTTCTAGCCCTCTTTTTTTGTGACTGACTGTACCTTTGTGTTTCTAGTTTATGGTTTGTGGACACAATAACAACAAACCTAGTATAATCCCAATTACGTTGGGGCCTGGGGGTCAAGATGTGCGCAACCTTACCCCGGTAAAACAAAAAGGCTGTTTCTGTTAGACCCTTGATGCACCGATGCATTTAGAGCTTGTTCTCTTCAAGTTATTCTTACTAGAATCATATCAAACCAGATTAGACCAAATCAGATAAAAAACAACTTTAAATATAATTACAATTAGAGATCAGATCTTAATAGAATCAGATTAGATCTAATTAGATTAGACAAAAAGAACAAGCTCTTACCAACCAAAACTTCATAAAAAATAAGAAGTAAGGGAAGCTAAAACATTGTTTCCTTTTAGATTATTGTGGACACAATATGTTTATATATTTACAAACTCTGAGACAGTTTTTACTAAATGGAATGCAGGAGTGTGCGATTGATCTTACTGGTCAAACAAGTCCTATTAGAAGAGCTAGCTTTTGGAAAGAAAAACGAGTTTTCTTTGTTACTCCACAAGTGCTGGAGAGGGACATCCTTTCTGGTTAATTTTACTTTGATTTGTTTTCCTTTTAACAATATATTCATGATAGTATATACTTGCAATTTATTGAATCAAAATTTGTGTTAGTCTTAGAATACCCTCAATGGTAGGTTTAGAGATGGTAGAATATAATAAAAAATTATAAAGAGAGAAAGGAGGAGAGAGTAGAATCCGGAGATAGTGATTGTGGAAACACAAGTATGATGGAGAAGGAAGTTCCGCAGAGAAGCTACATATTTGCTTTCTTTTTTTTCCAATTTTTTTGACTGTTTTCCTTATTAACATTCAATTAGGATATCTAAACCGCAATTCCCATTGGAGACTGTCTTACAGAGAGGTTTCTAAGCTTTAAATTTTTAAATGCTTTTAGACTTAATGTTTGAATGATGATGCTATGTTCTTTAACTAATACTGTATTAGCGTCTTTTGTTTATATAGTTCTCTTTAAGATGGGATGATGGATAAGGAATGACATAAGAACATTCCTATTGGGAAGTAAGGCATATAACCAACTAACAAAATCCGAGGAGTCTATATCTGAATCATGGGACTACTTTGACTTAAATTTTAAACCCTAATACTTTTGAGAGTAGAGATAAGAAAATCCCTTTATAGCATGTACAATATGATATTATAAACTTATACCCTCTCCATCCCAATTTATGTTATTCATTTTGATTGAGCATAGAGTTTAAGAAAGTGAAATATGGGTGGTTGAAGTTTATGGTTAATTGGCACATAATGGTTTCTATGGTATAGGTTTCTGAACTTGTTTATTGGAAAATGAGATTTATACCTTTATGCTTCTAAACTTGCTTTTTTTGTAACTTGTAAAGCTCTAAACTTCTCTTCTCTTCTGGAAGCTTGAAAGGATGTATTAATTTTATTCAGGTATATGCATGGTGAAACATCTAGTCTGCTTGGTGATTGATGAGGCTCATCGTGCTACGGGGAATTATTCTTATTGTGTAGTTGTTCGCCAGGTTTGTGTTGACTTTCTTTTCAATACAAAACACAAACTCTCGCTATCTCTCAAGCATTCGCACACACAAATGTGCGCTTGTTCGAGGAGAAATTATGAGGAAGTGAGTTGCAGAAAGAGAAAAGGGTAGGAAATATAGAAAATTTAATTGCTCGGTTCGAAAGAATTTTGAAAAGGAAATGGAAAGGAAGTGGGAAGAGAGAAAAAAATTCTCCCCCCATTTCTGGAGCGAAATGGTGGGGAAATTTTATTTTTAAGTATGCATTCTTTCACACCCTTTCCTCATGCCTTTTTTGCACTTGGCCGCATCTACCTCATGTCTTCCGCCTCGCGTTCAGCCATCTCCAATAATAAATTTAAAATAAATATAAATATTTTTAATGATATTTACTTTATTTAATATTTTTAATTATAATAAATTTGTTACTACATATATTGGAAAAAACTAAAAATACTTATCAATAATTAAATACTCCTCCGTTCACAAATTATCTTCCCACTTTCCTTTTTTGTCCGTCCACAAATTATCTTCCCATTTCCTTTTTAGTAATTTTTATAAGGTAAAAAGACTCAAATACCCTCCCCACCCACTTCTTTTCTTCTTTTCTTTTTTCTTCGTCTCCCTTCTGTTTTTGTCCAACCAATCGCTCCATCTTTCTTTTTCTTCTTTCTTCTTCCTCTACTTTTTCTTCCGATTTCTTTGTCTTTCTTCTTCAATCTTTTTCTCTTCTTCTTTTTTCTTATTCCTTCTCCCCCACTACTAGATCCGACTAGATCTAGATCTACACAAAAAGGATAATTTTTATTTCTCAGATCTGCGATGGGCAAGTCCAAAAACAGATCTCTGCGTTAGGATGGAAGGAGGTTGCAGGTCTGCGACGACGGCGGTGGGAGGGGGGTTGCGATGGCAGGAGGTTGTGGAGGGGGAGGGCTGGTGACATGAACGTCGGCAGTGGCGCTGGAGAGTGGTCGGCGGTGACAAGAACGTCGACAACGGCGCTGGATAGACCCGTAGATGGTTCATGGGGGTGGAGAGGGAAAATAGGGCTGAAGGTTATAATGGGAAAGTCAACACAATTTTCATCACACATAAATTTGCGTGCCCTGTCAAACTGGGAAGTTTTTTTTGGACGGAGGGAGTAGTATTTTTATTTTGTATGAAATATTTTTTAAAGGGTACAATTGTAATGTTATTTCTATAATTACTTCTTTCTTCCCTAATTTCTTCCAACCAAACAATGGGATTTAACTTTTCTTCAACCCACTCCATTTCCTTCCCTTGTAAAAACACTCATAGGGATGGAGACTAGACTTGGGGACCACAGTCACCTCCATTTATTGTAAGAATAAATAGATATGATTAGATTAATTTCATACCAACATTTTAAGGACCTGTTATTTATTAATCTGTATTGTTTATTAATTGTCCAGTGATATAATATTGATGTATTACATGCGGGACTCTCAACACACACAAATACACACACACACAACCTCCGGCCCAGTGTATTTGTCCAGTTTGACTTTTTCAAGTCAAATTGGATGAATTTTGAGCTTCAATTACTCTCAAATTGTATTGCATATTAGTAAAATGAAATACAATTTTGAAAATTCTTAACAAGACAAATTTAATAATATCATTTTTATGCTAAAATACAATACAATTTTTGTTTAATTGAAGCTCAAAGTTCATATAGTTTGACTCAAAAAAGTCAAATTGGACAAATTCACTCAGACAAAGGGAGTATATATACATATTATATATATATGTGTGTGTGTGTGTGTCTATATATATATATATCTTTCCAACTGTTCAGCATTATGCTCTCTGATGAAAATGTAGTTTTGAATTTCTATAATGACAGACAAAACTGTTATTGGTTTTATTCATGTTTTAGCTGATGGCCGTACCTATACAACTCAGAATACTGGCTTTAAGTGCTACGCCTGGATGTAAGTATCTATTGATTTTAAGATTCTTAACGATGTAACATACACCGTATTATTTGTTCTCTTTCTACCTTGCCTTGTCTAATAATTTCTAATTCAGCTAAGCAGCAGGATGTTCAGCATATTATTGATAATTTGCAAATTACAACACTAGAATATCGCAGTGAAAGTGACAGAGATGTGCTCCCTCATGTGCATGACCGAAAGATAGAACATATTAAGGTACACATTATTTTGGCTAATTTAAATTGTTTGTTATCTTATGTGTGTCTCTACTCTTTTGGGCTGGAGTATTTACTGGGTTGTTTTGTTACTCAACAGAAGCTTACTATCTTGAAAATCACAACATAAAGGCAACATTTTTTTTGTCAATTGATTATAGGTCGCTATGGGACAGGAGGCTGATGAAATTAATAATCTTCTCATGGATGTAATATTGCCATTTGCTGCACGGCTTTCTGCATTTGGAGTACTTCCGAATAGGAATTACCAGACAGTATGCATCATTTTTTAAGCTATTAAAGTTTGATTGTGAAGTAGGGGAGATAAATTTCTCCTCTACCATGTAGATTAGAATTTTGTGGATGTAAATATTTGAGGGAAGGAAAATCTTCTAAACATTCCCCAGAACCCTTTTGAAAATTGCGGGATTTGGGCGTGAGGGGACCTTTTTATGTTAAATAGACCAGAGAAGATCTTAAAAAACATGAAGACCAAAAAGATTCAAATCAGGCAACATCTTACAAAATTTCACAACTGATCACATTTTACACAAAAACAATTGGTCATGAACTCATAAAACATGCACTGAAAAGTGGATCTTCTTCCCTCTTCATTTGGTCTCCCTTTCTTTACTTCCCTTTTAGTGCTTATGATGATTGTACACTTTCTTTTCGCTTGCATTGATTTTGAATTAGATTTCATCACATGTCCAAATAATATTTTTCTTAATGTACAGCTCAGCCCATTTGAGATAATTGATGCACGGGCCAATTTTCGTAGAGATCCACCAAAGGACATTCATGAAATAAAGTATGGAGATATTGAAAGATATTTTGGAGTCCTTTTGACACTGTATCATGTTCGAAAGCTACTCTCAAGCCATGGAATAAGGCCTGCATTTGAGATGCTTGTTGAAAAGCTGCGAGAGGGGTTTGTTTTCCACACTTTTGGCTGGCATTATTTGTCATGTATATATGATTTTTAAACTTCTGACAGTTATGTGGCCTGTCATATGGCATGTTAGATTCATTTCCTTATAAAATTTATTTGACGAATTGCTGAAGTACCTAATTTAGAATTATTACACATGTCTTAGCTAATAGATCTGAATTCATGCATTTTCAAAATTCTTTGGTTCCTTGCCTACCTAAATGCCCCGGTGTCAGAAAAGAATTAGAAGTATTAAACACACATTTATTTTCCTCTTTTCATGGTTTAGATGCATCATGTATCCCTAAAGATTCTTTTCAGTTTGCTGAACATATTTCTTATATTTGCAGGTCGTTTGCTCGACTAGTGAGTAGAAACGAAATTCTTTTAAAAGCAAAACTCCTAATGCAGAAAAGTGTAGATCATGGAGCTCCAAATCCAAAACTGTCAAAAATGCTTGAGATAGTGATTGATCACTTCAGTATGCATCTTGGACATTAACTTCTGTTTGCATTAACTCAAAGTTCAGTGTATTTGTTCATAGACTACTTTTATGCATTGCTTACACACACAAACATTTTTTTTACCCGGAGCGGTCCACCACAATCAGTGGGGCTACGACAGGGCAACCGTAGCCAATTTATTAAAGTGGAAAAGAGACCAATTACAAAATGAGGGCCAAGCAGAGCGCTCCACCATCAGGGACAGGCCCCGGAAGAAACATGGACTAAAAAACAAAAAAGAAAATGGGGAAGAGGAGGGGAAAAGTAACAGCTGGGCTAAACACCACCCAAGTTCTCTGCCTTAGCCAAATCCCACTTTTACAGCGCCATTCCAACCACCAAATTGGAACTATCTTCACAATTAGAGAAGGAGATCAACCAGCTCCAGTTCTGTCAGCCATATCTGTTGGGTTATTCAGTGAAGGCTTTAGAGCTTTGGGCTTTAAGCCCAGTCAGTTAAAGGGAAGAAATATGGGGGGCCGGTTTTAGTTATTAATTAAAGGGCCCATTAGTTGTTTCTTGTTTAGCAAGTTGTTAACCCTAATTTATATCTTATAAATACCCAATATGTAACTATAATCTGTGAGCACCTAATAAAAGATAAACCCTAGTTGCAACCCGTGGAGTAGGTTACTGACCGAACCACGTTAAATCTCGTGTTCTTATTTTCTGCTATTTGTGTGTGTGTGTGTGTTTGTTCGCTTCCGCTTGATCGCCTCTGATCTCTGATTCCTAACAAGTGGTATCAGAGCCTTGGTTCGGTTAAACACACGGTTACACAGGATCAATCGCAGGAAGAAGGCTGTTGAAGATCGTTTTTGCTGCTGTTTTGCTGCCGCGGTTAAGGGGATGGTTCGGATCTGATCAGGGGCTGGTTCGAATCTGATCAGAGGCTGGTCTGGGTCTGGTCAGGGGCTGTTCAGTCGGTTTTGGGTGAACTTGGCGATTAGGGTTTCTGGTTTTGGACCTGGTACTCGTTGGTTCGGGTTCTTTGATTTAGGGTTTGTTTTCTTTTGGAGGTTGCTTGGTTTTGGGCTGTTATTCCTTGGTTTTTTCTCTGGTTTTTTTTCTCTCGTTCTGCAATGGCCGAGGACGGGAGGGTTCGAATCGAGAAGTTCAACGGTACTGATTTTGCATGGTGGAAAATGCAAATAGAGGCGTTGCTTGGTGAGTGCAATTTGGACATGGTACTGGAAGAGAAACCGGATGGAATGGATAAGGCTGCTGAAGCAATTTGGGACTCAAAGGACAAAAAGGCAAAAGGTAAAATTACACTAGCTTTGACGAGGAGTGTGGCGTTTAATATCATGAAGGAAACAACTGCTCGTGGTATGTTAACAGCTCTGTCAAATATGTATGAGAAACCGTCGGCCGGTAATAGAGTGTTCTTGATGAGGGAATTGTTCATGATGAGAATGAACGAGGGCAGCCCAGTTGCTGATCACATTAATGAGGTCAATTCGATCTTGTCGAGGTTATCATCAGTAGGCATGAAGTTCGATGATGACACTCAGGCTATGATTCTGTTATCTTCCTTGACTGATAGTTGGTCGGGATTTGTGACTACGGTTACTGAAAGTGCTGGAACAGGAAACTTGAAGTTTGATCGGATACGGGATAGTGTTTTGGGTGAAGACATTCGCCGGAGGAACGCTAGTGGAGGATCTACTTCTGGGTTACTCAGAGTTAGCAGGGGAAGAGGTAATAACAGAAACAGTGGGAGTCGTGGGAAGAGCTCGTCTAAGGCTGGAAAGAATGTGGTGTGTTGGGTCTGCAAAGAAGTTGGGCATGTCAAGAGTCAATGCCCAAACAAGAAAAATGAAATTAGCGCAGTTGTTGGGAATGCATCTGATGATGATAGTGATGCATTGATACTCAGCATGGAAAGCTATGTTGACTCTTGGGTCATGGATTCTGGTGCTTCGTTTCATGCCATGCACAGCGGTAAAGTTGGGTAACGGGAAAATCCTTAAAGTGACAGGCATGGGAGATATTGATCTAAAAACTTCATTTGGAACTACTTGGAGCTTACAAAATGTCAGGGTGATTCCAAGACTGAAGACAAAGTTGATCTCAGTCGGACAATTGGATGAACATGGACTAGACGTCAAGTTTGGTGGTGGAAAATGGAAGGTGATCAAAGGAAATTTGGTTATTGCTCGAGGCTTGAAAAGAGGATCGTTATACATGGTACCGGTGACGTCTGAGGGAGTGACCAACCCGGTAAAGACAGTTAACAAAGTCAGGCTCACTGAATCGGGCAAAGCTAAGAAGGTTCATTTTGCAAACGTGAATCTTGGAGTTTTAGGGATGACAGTTGAGTGTGTTCGGAGGTCTGAATCAGGTCAGGGGTTTCGTGTCAGTGGGAGCATGGGACGTGTTCTGAGTACAGTTGGGAAACGTCGTTGGGTTTTGAGGACCAAGAATCCGAATGTTAAAATCTCTCTTGGGAATAGTTTGCTGGATTTGGAGAGTGGTAATGGTCCTCGGTGTATCTCTGGATCCGGTGGATTGTGCAAGCCGGTTGAGACAGAGGCTGTGGCGGTTACAGTCACGACTGGGTTGGAGCTCGGTGGAGCTTCAACTGTCCTTTCAGGTTATTAATGAAGGGGGTGGTTGCAACTAGGGGATATAACTGGAGTCTTAGCTTGTTCTTGGGAACT